GTTTTAAGCCTATAACCTTCCTTGGTAAATTAACTATCCAACCCGAAAAGAGTTATCCAAATCGAACCAGCAGTTCTGGAGATTAGTACATTGAAACAAAAAATCTTTGGCTTTATAGGTATAATAAAAAAATTAAAATTAATAACTAAGGCCTGATTTTTCACTGCCTCGTTGGCCGTGTGGTCGCAAGTGCGCCAGGCAAGGGGTCTCAGGTTCGATTCCCAGGTGACGCAAAGTATTACTGGGTTTTAAAAAAAATGTCAGTAGTAGCACGGAGTCTGGAAATGTGCCTAGTATATGGCAATAGGCCCACCCCTATTACATGGGTCTTTGACATAACATAAATAGTGAAAAGTCGGTGTTACTACTGTTTGCACCTCTGCCCTACCCCTTTGGGGATAAATAGCTTGATGTTATGTTATGGGCTGATTTTTCCTTAGGAGTGAGGAAATACAGGGGTATCTATATCTATCTATATCTATCTAGGAGACCTTACCCTGTAAGGTCTCCTCCACCTAGGTGAAGTGACAGGGTGACTGGCAGTGGTTGGATGTGAAGTGTTGCAGATCGAGCTCAGTGACTTGATACTGGAGAGACCTATGTCTAGACGTGGACGGATTAGTTTCAATAATGAGGTATCTTGAACTTAGTTAAAACTATGATTGATTCTAATGAGATTTATTTTATCTTATAAGTAGTAGATGGTTTTATTTTTTTTGTTATTTATTTTATCTCTTTGCTGTCTTATTTTGTGGGGCCATGTTAGAAAAATATCATCATAATATTACCTACCTATTATTTAGAACTGAGAAACAAATGAGAGATAAATATTAATAACTAGTTCACAGGCATTTATATTATTATTCCCATGTTATAGGGGTGAGTCTATTGCCATACTGGACACAATTTTGGACTATATGATTACTGAGAAGTTATATATCACAGGTAATCAGAAGGATTTTTATATTTGAATCCTTCAAATTTATCTTTGAGTTTCTTAAATTAATTTTATCAGTTAAAATAAGGTACTAAACATGTGATATGATGAACTATAATTTATGGAATTGTGTGAGTGAATGGTAATAAAAAGAGACTATAAACTAAGGAGTTTAACTTAGATTTTTTAATGTTTATAGATAAAAGGAAAAATATTTTTTCTTATTTTACATTTTTATTAGTGATTTTCAAAATGTACTTAACTCTATTTGAATATTTTCGTGTAAATAATTTACATTTTGTATCTCATAATTAAATTAAAATTCAGAATATAATACTTAAATTTAGGTGAAAAAAGTACAGAAAAAGTAAATAAAAAATCACTTGTTCTTTTTTTATTTATCACTTCCTACCGGAGCACTGATACCAATAGGAACAGCCAATAAACTCGCATTATCTAATTGAAATTCAAAAATCAAGTTCGCGACGCAAAACAAGTCTAAATAAATTATTGACTTTAAATTAACAATTCAGTAGTCAATTAATTCATATCTGCGTATTAAAGACAGACGCAGTAGTTTTAAAAGTACTATTTTTAACCACGCCGATCGGCTGAATGAAACGACGTGTCTTAGAAAATAAAAAAGTAATAAATACTTACGGATTAAAAAAAGTTGGTGCGATACGCCGGAAGCAAGTTTATGCACTTTTATCACTTAAAATAACACTGAAAACTTGTCTTTATGATAGTTTAACACGTTATTTGATTTGACGATGTTATTTACAGTGATATTACCGCATAGTACATGTCTACGCGGGTAGGAAATTCAAATGAAAATAATTTTTGTAGGTTACGAAACGTCAAACTTGCTGGCTTTGAAGGTCACCTTGAAGTGACAGCTGGGGTGGTCAGCGTATTAACTATGGTAGAATATGGGAGTTTTGGTAGTTATTTGTATTATTTGATACTAGCTGTACCCGCAACTTCGTCTGTGTTTTTCTGAAATAAAAGTAGCCTATGTTACTCCTTAGAACCAGAGATCAGCCAGTACAAACAAATAGAGAGACAAAAATTGTATAATAATATTTTGGTACGTATATTCATATGCTAAAAAATATATACCATACAAGTACCGCAGCCATTAAGTTACGTAAATTAGGCTAACCCTTTCCTATCCTCAAGGGTGTCAAGCAAGGTGACCCGCTGTCTCCTTAAATCTTCACAGTGACCCTAGAAGAGATATTTAAAAAGCTATGCTGAAGCACGAGGGGCTTATCAGGGAGAAGAGGCCGTTTTGCCGATGACATTGTGTTCTTCTCCTCTTCAGCATCAGATCTAGGAAGTATGATCAACGAACTGAAGATGAACACGTCGAAGACCAAACTAATGACTAACAGTTCGAAATATAGGTTAGAAGTAGATAGAACAGAAATTGCCTACGTCCAAGATTCCAAGAATACATCTACCTGGTCCAATTAGTCCTTTTCCAGGCTAGACAAGAAAAAGAAGTTGCCCGACGCACCGAGAAAGCTATTAGTCAATGGGCGAGCTAATGAAAGAAATTCATCAATTCATCAATTATTGAAAAGGAAGCTTATGGACGTGTGTATTCTGCCCATCCTCACCTATGGTGCTCAAGCCTGGTCTTTTACAAAACATCAAAAGTCACTCTCAGGATTTGCCAGCGAGCCATGCAGTATCTTAGAACTTCGATTATCAGACAGAATAAGAAACTCCATAACTTTCTTACCTAGCGTTCTAAAACTCAAATCGCTGACGTTGGTCATAAAGCCGCAAGCTTAAAGTGGAACTGGGCTGGTCAGGTCTGCCACTTGTTAGACGAGCGGTGGGCAAAACTTACTACTGAGTGGAGCCCACTCAACGTCAATAGACGTTGCGGTAGGCCCAGAAGGAGATGGCGGGATGAACTTGACGCTTGAAAAGAATTGGCCTTAGAAAGCTTTAAGAAAAGATGATTGGAAGGATGGTAGGCCTTTGCCCAGCAGCGGGACGACTATGGCCAAAATAAAAAAATTAAATATTCATATGCATGTAGTAATAACCGATTATTTTAATATTACAAACAGACACGCCAATTTTATTCATCTGTATAGTCAGATGTACAGATTATTGTAACTTTTATACTATTTAGGAACTGTTATTAAATTGTCTATGACTGACTAACTTCTCTACAAAGTTTCTTTCTATAAGGTCTCTTATATTATAGGCCAAATAAAAGAAAAAAATTAAAATAAAATAGTTTTATTTAACATTTATCTACATATTTATAATAATCAAATAATAACTATAACAAAACGTTTTACAAATTATTCACATTAGTTATCACAACTTGAAATATTTATATTTCAACTTAATAACATAAAAAATATCAATTACGCCTTTCATTTAATAATAATATAGTCAACAATAATCATTAATAAACTGACAGCCATTTTCAATAGCCAATGTAGATTTGCTTAGTAGAGATCAGAGGCGAATTAAACCTAGACAGTGCCTTAGGCAAACTCCTCATAGGCAACTCTAATTCATTTTGTCATTTATTTGGTCTGATGGCTCTTTGAGGCGCGCGCGGAACCGCGCCGTACGCTCGGGTCTGTTTCTGGTCAGACGGGGAGCCACCCATGCTCGCCGTCCGCAGGCCCGCATCTGCCTAAGGCTAAGGACTCACGAAACGATTTTCTCCCGTGCTCACCGCGGTTGCGGGCTCGCAGCCTTTGTAGAATGCAGATAGGTATGTAAAAAATTTAAGCAAATTTCACGATGCGCTTTACGCCTGCGGCGTGTGCGAGTTTTGTGGCTCCCGCTGCACCGGGGGGCGCGGTCACAGTCCTAGTCGCGGCAGCTAGCACCCACGTACTCTGCGATCGGTTAGTGAGCGATCGAAATGGGAGGGCCGGTTACTGATTATTTAATCTACCGCTAAGTTTGCGGGCGATAACCGCAACCACGGCGGCTGCGAAACCGCAGTTTACTGCGGTGAGTTTTGAAAATAAATCTCCTTGAAGGTGAAAATCGCATCGTGAGTACGTAGCATTAGGGTAAATACAGTTCTGTTAGAAAAACATTCTAGATATAACCTCGTTACAAAATGTGCCAAAATTGTCCCTCTATTAAGCAAATCTACAATTAAGACATTAATGTCCAAATACTCAAACGCTATTCCATTTAAAGTAGCGCTTAATGGCGCCTGCCGTATAGTTGCTCACTAGATGGCACTAGTGTGAACCTATCATGTTTCGTCCAATAGGCAATTAGCTAGTATCACACCATTGGACGTTCAATATTTGACAGCTAAAATCCCCTAACAGTTACATTTGCGCCACTGGGTGAGCAAAAAAACGTTAGCTTCCATTATAGTTCTGTCACTACAAAATCTTTGTAAAGTGACAGAGATGGCACGATATTAAGTACACATGGCTACACATCGAGCACATAACCAGTATAAACTGAACGTTAAATGTGCGGAAAGATGATGCGACGCGACACCAGGATAAACTGGTTTTGTATATATTGATGTTTGGCAGTGTGTATAATTTTAAAAATTGAGTAGCCTTTGAATATTCGGGCGTATGACTGGGTGCTGGTATTTTAGGCTCCGTTAATTACACTTATGACTTAATACAAAATTCAACACTTATTATACGTACAAAGTGTGATTAACATTCGTTATTTGAGGGGTTGCAAGCGCAAAGACCAAACGAAATCCAAATCGATCCTGAACTGTTTCGAGTCTTTAATATCGCAATTGGCTCGAATCTTGGACCCAAAACATTTATAGCGAAAACTCGTTATTTTTTGAATCTTTGACTTTCATTCATTCATTCTTTGCATACCAACCTGCATTGAGCAAGCGTGGTGATTAATGCTAAAACCTTCTCCGTGTGAGAAGAGGCTTTGCTCAGCAGTGGACATTTATAGGCTGTTGATGATTCATTCATTGAGGCTCACAGCCAATTGCGATTTCAAGGACCTTGGGCGTATAACATTATTAGAGAAATCTCGGTATACTGATATCTTCTAGGCATGTATAAAAGGTGTGTTTTTAATCTAGACTCAAAGGCGGACTACCGTCAAACTCTTCAGCGAAATGGTCGAAATTACTATCATTATTATCTTTAATATCAAAATTAATCTTAACAGGATTAACATTCTTAACATAAGTCCTATTCATAAGTACAGGACTGCATACCAAATCCGAAACATTTAAATTACCACTTTTACCGGGACTTTCATTTACGTTGGCAACATTATCATAACTGTCACTTTTGACAGTTTCGCTTTTCGATTTTGGCGGTGGGATTTTTGAATTACTTTGGTTTGGATTTAGAGGACTCTTGTATGAATTCGAAGCGTTTTTAGATCTATTAATTATATGAATGGTTGATAATGGAGGTGGTTCCCCGTACATTTTTAGTCTCGCTATTTTTTCATTGACTTTTTTCTTCCTAAGCATAACTTCATCAGACAAGTTTTGAGTGTCTGTTTGTCTAAAAGTGGACTCAAAATCTAAGCCGGTAAGGTTGAAATTGTCATCTTTGACCGGTCTAGCTAAAGGCGAATCAATGAACATTTTGTTTTTAGAGAAATTAAGGTCACTATTATTAAATCTATATGGAGATATGTTTTCATTATTACTCTTGACACTAGCGAAATTATTTTTCAACACAACACAGTCTTCACAAAATTTTCTACGATCCAGTGTACTAAACTTCTTACTCAAATCATGTATTAAATTCCTGGCACATTCATTTTTGGGAGTTTTAGTAAAATACGTGAACTCCGTCACCCTGTATTGCAGTATAGTTTTTCTAGTGTTACCAGCGCGTTTCTGCAAATTACCACAATAAATAATTTGACCGGTATCTAACACATTTTCGTATCCAAATTTCTTTAAACCACCCCAGAAATTAATACAAATAATATTCTTATTAGCATCTGAAAGGTAGATATTTTGGAAAGGTTGTTTAGTCGAGTCGAAATCGTTAATCGATGGTTCGATTAGGAAGATGAAACCGATTGTATCGATTTCATTATAATCGGTTGACATCGATGGGTTTTGAACTAGCTGTTGTATAGTATATGAGTTACGTTTTAAGGTTTTGGTGTATGGTTTTAAAATTTCAGGTTCCTTGAATTTTGATAGGCTGAATATGGATTGTCTGCCTGCTGATATTTGGATTTCGTTGTACCTGAAATATAAATTATAAAGTAGGGTTATATATATAGTAGGGTATATTGTTTTATAGACAACTTTAAAGATACAAATTTGAGCATAAGAAATTCGATTACTATGATGATAAAACAAAACAAATATTTACTTTGATATTAAAATTACATTGGCCTAGACTGCCTCGTTGGCCGAGTGGTCGTAAGTGCGACTGCCGGGTAACGGGTCTCGGGTTCGATTCCCGGGTCGGACAAAGTATTACTGGGTTTTTAAATATTCTCAGTAGTAGCACGGAGTCTGGAATTGTGACCGGTATATGGCAATAGGCTCACTCCCTATTACATGGGACTCATAACATAAATAGTGAAAAGTGGGTGTTACATTGTACAGTGGTATAATGTGCACCTCTGCCTACCCCTTCGGGGCTAAAAAGGCGTGATGTTATGTTAAATTAAAATTACATTTTAAATTATTTCGAGTATCGATAAATGGATACACAATGCCAATATCCGATCTTCGGACTAGACAAATAATTATTGTAGGGAATTTTGATATTCCTAACAAAACTGAATACATATTGGACTTTTCTATTAGAAAGAAAGAAATAAAGAAAAAACATTTATTTCACATACTTAAAACATAAACATAAAATAACATCACGTCTTTTATCCCCGAAGGGGTAGGCAGAGGTGCACACAGAAGTGACACTCACTTTTCACCATTTATGTTATGACTGTCATGTAATAGGGGGTGAGCCTATTGCCATATACCAGGCACATTTCCAGACTCCGTGCTACTACTGAGATTTTTTTTAAAACCCAGTAATACTTTGTCCGACCCGGGGATCGAACGAAAATAATAAGAAAAAATGACAGTCTGTAGGTCAGTCCTCTGGTGAAGCTATTTGCTCATTCCAAAGTGTAGATTCCTATGGAGAAGAACGAGCAAGAAACTCAATAGGTTACTCTTTTTCAATCAGGTTCACTATACAATTCTTGGTTACATTCTTTCGTTGAGTTCAATTATGTGAGAACAATGTAATACCAATATTTGGTCAAAGAGACGGAAAAAGAAAATAACCTTGAGGACAACAAATTTAATACAGTCTGAAGCTGACCAGTCCCAGTTGACAGCGCCCGTTCACGAACATGACACGTACACCAGCACCGCCCAACTCGACCATGTTGTAGGGAATCGATAGATCAGATAGATAAGATAGATCAGATAATTTCTACTCTCTCTGTAGACAAGCGCTAAAGTGGCGTTTGGCTAAAGGCACAGATATGATATGGTCATGATATTTACCTGACAGCGGTAGGGACAACATTCAGCACATCGATCCAGATTCCTTCCCTGATCATATCAGTAACTGCATCTGTTGGCTTCCATATTGACATCATGCCTGGAAACCAGGGAAATGTAGTCTCTTTTCGCTGTATGTTACTATGTATGCATAGATCTTTAAAACTACGCAACAGATTTTGATGTGGTTTTTTTAATAGATGAAATGATTGAAGAGAGAGTTTGTAATCATTTGTTTTTTTAAAAAAAACGTTGCCCCACACTAGGTTTTTCTCCTGTGTCGTGGGTGCGTTTACAAACATACAAGTTCACATACACATGACACCCAGACCCGGAACAACAATGTACGTGGACCACACGAAGTATTGATCCGTGCGGGAATTGAACCCGCGACACGTTGCATGGCAGCCGGTTGCCCAGCCACCGTACCAATGTTAATGACTTAACTTATGGACTAATTAGATTTTTAATTTTCATACCCTGTCATCATCCCAATTCCTTACTTTTATGACAATAAAACTAATTTTTATAACCTGTCGGCGTTCCGTTTACACCCAGTATGGACGAGGGGTAAATACTCTGAAATGTTGCCACTTAAAAAATTGACTCACCCTTAGAAATCTCCACACCACTCCTCTCCACCACTCCAGCGACTCTAATCTTCAGTAACATAACAACATTCCTAGTCACTTGGACTCCTGCTTTCTCTATCTTCTCTCTCACTCTCTTCTGTATGTCTTGAAGGAGACGGTCCCTTTGTTTCGATCTGTGTCCTTCTAGGAGGTTGGTTTGTGTGGAGGTTAAGCCAGCCTGGAAAATAAGGGAAGATTGTGGTTATTATTAGGTATATTGTAGGGTGGCAACCCTGAAACCGAACTGCACAGTTGGTGCATCTGGCTGAGGTGCAACGTTTCGCAGGTGTGATTCCCGCACGGAACAACACTTTGTGTGATCCACAGATTGTTGTTTCGGGTCTGTGTGTGATGTGTATGTGAACTTGTATGTTTGTAAACGCACACACGACACGAGAAAATCCTAGTGTGGGGCAAACTTAAAAAAAAAGAAATAAATTATTTTTGATAGCGTGGCAACCCTGAAATCGAACTGCACGGTTAGTGCGGTGGCTGGGCATCTGGCTGCCGCGCAACGTGTCGCAGGTATAATTCCCGCACGGAACAACTCTTTGTGTGATCCACAGATTGTTGTTCCGGGTCTGTGTGTCATGTGTATGTGAACTTGTATGTTTGTAAACGCACCCACGACCAGGAGAAAATACTAGTGTGGGGCCACGTTTAAAAAAAAACGTGTGAAAGAAAATTTGAAAAACATTACAAAACATTATGTCTCGCGCTTTTTTTTATTTATTTTTTTGGCATAACCCGGTAAACGAGCAGATGGATCATCTGATGGTAAGCAATCGGCGTCGCCCATGGACACCTGAAACACCAGAGGCGTTACAATGCGTTACCGACTTTTTGGGGATTAGGAGTTTGAGGATCGTTGGGGGTTATATACCAGGAGTTAAAACTCACCCTAAACTCCTCAGGGTCTCTGCTCCTCTTCATAACCTTGGCTATTTGCGATCCACTGTCCAAACACACTCTCTTGTTACATGCGTCTGATAAACTTTCCGAGTCTTGAGATTCCTGTAAAAGATGTAATGCAAAACTATGTAATTAGTAAATTGTATTGTGAACCTGATTGAAAAAGAGTAACCTGTGGAGTTTCTTGCTCGTTCTTCTCCATAGGAATCTACGCCTTGGAATGAGCAAATAGCTTCACTTTAAATTTTTGTTTTTGTTGACGTTAAGTGCCATTCTGGCCTAATTGAAATAAATGATTTTGACTTTGACTTTGAAATGTATAGCATAGCATATAACATCACGCCTTTTATCCCTGAAGGGGTAGGCAGAAGTGCACACAGAAGTAACACCCACTTTTCACTATTTATGTTATGAGTCCCGTGTAATAGGGGGTGAGCTTATTGCCATATACCGGGCACATTTCCAGACATCGTGCTACTACTGAGATTTTTTTTAAAAAACCCAGTAATACTTTGCCCGACCCGGGAATCGAACCCGGGAATCGAAGATGTAATGTAACTTTGTTATATCAAAGATTTTCTTTTTCCAAGATATACAACTACACAATGTCACCCACTGTTATGAGTAACGAGGCTATTAACATTTTAGTTTCCGTAACCGGAACATAGCGTCCCAGGGTCATTTCGGGGACAACGGAACTCGTAATAGGGTAGTTTGATAAATTTTATTTTAATGTTCGTCTGGTACAATAATTTAAAAGTTTAACAACCTATTTTTTATTTTCTCACTAAATTAACTCGTCGAGTACCGGTTTTATAGACACAATTAACTCGTCGAGTACCGGTTTTATAGACACAATTAAAGAACAATAGGTCGCGGTCACCGGTGACCGCTTGGTGTTTGACAGTTTAAAGAACAATAGGTTGCGGTCACCGGTGACCGCTTGGTGTTTGACAGTTCAAATACTTTCGACGATATATTAATTTGAAATATCGTGTGACGTCACAGCGTGCTAGATTTTTTAGCACGTTATGACGTAACAATCTCTCACTCCTAATTTAGGAGTCCTAAACGCCATTTTATTTAAGTATTGCAACTTAATACGAGAAAATATAAAGTATGTGTCTAATATTTATTCATTATCCAACTGACGGACTAATTAGATTTGTAATTTTGATACCCTGGAAACTACCCAATTATATAAAGGGACACTCCCATTCAAAACAGGACGTGATACTCGAATTGCCTTCTGGAGACAGGTATAAAAAAATCAAGGAACCCAACAACCTGTGAATTTACTACTTCACAAACTTAACAGTTAACAAATACAGAGACCAATATCTTATTCCTTTAAATTATAGAGCAAATATTATATTACGTACCTGTTGTCTGGGTTGAGCCTGTATCTGTACATTCATTAATACATTACGCTACAGTCAAAGTTCACTGACCTGGTCTGAGAACTCCCTCTCAACTTCTTCATAGATTCTCTCCATGATGGCCTGTCTTTCAGCTTCAGTCTTCACTTGGTGTAGATGCTCTAAACGTTCCGATCTTGTCACTGAAAAAATAAAAAATATTTGATAACACACACACACATTTTTCAAAGAAGCACATAAATATACTATGTAACGCCCAATTTTCACCAGTTATTTTAGACAAATTCAATACTTTCTTCGAACTGTCAAAAACGACAGTTTTCTATGAATTTTGTACGAGATTGTGTATTGTGACGTCACGTTTTTTTAGGGTCAAATAGCATACTTACTTATTAAAAATTTGCTTGAAAAATACTAAAATGAAGTTGGTCATAAAATCAAATAATGAAAGTGGGATTATTTTTTAATATTTTGTTGTATTGAACAGTCGAAATAATTTATTTTTGATTAAGGAAAGTACCCAATTCTACTGATTGAAATTCAAAATGAGCAAGAGAAAATTGAAAAAATCAAGCATGTAGGTACTAAAAATATTGATGATAGTAAGTTACTAAGTAACTTAACAACGCATGAGATTAATAATATGGAAAATATTTATGATTTTATAAATATTAATAATTTCTAAAATTACCCGGGCACAATCCCTTTAATAAAAACTTTCGAAAAATTGGAAATCTTTGCCAAAACTGGGAAATCAAAACTCGACCCCGGCAGTCACACTTGCAACTATTCAACTCATTCATTTTCGCTTAAAAACATCCACTATAACGCAATATCTACCTTAAGCAATCTAAAAATAAAGTCCAAATTAGCAATCCAAAACTTACCAGTGCTCCCATCCTCAAATTTCTCCACATACAAAGCAGGATACACTCTAGACACAAAAACTCTTAGTTTCGACACTTTTCCGCCATCTATTCTGACAGATGACAGTTGGGACAAGATGGCGGCGTTGCCATGGTAACCGAGACGCGCGCCCCAGCGAGCCCTGCGCGTTGAGTTGCCGAAGAGCTTTAAGCGTATGGCTGTAGTGTCCTGGAATTAATAAAAATGAAGATAAATTGGATGCTTTCAAGGCCCGTGTGATTAGGTTGCTATAGGCAGGCGGATTCCATCGTAGGCTGCAGCGTCTTTTACCACCAGGCAATTCCACCAACATAATGGACAAATGTCAACCTAATTTCAATAGAATAACTGTGGAATTGGAGTTAGCAGAAACCCCAGAGCATTGCTCAATACAATCTAATAGCATTTTCTGTGTTTTTGATGTTAAAACCAATTAATATAATGTTTTAGGATGTGTTTCGAAGCCATAATGATGTTTTCAGTTGCATAGGCGAGTTAGAAATTAAATATAATCTCATTAGTACGCCCCATTCTGGAATCAAACCAGAAACTTCTCGTTAGTATTTAATTTACTAACCTCCCACGGTGAAACTCCTTGTTCACAACCAATCAACTCAGCCCCATTGGTGACCAGCTTGGTTCCAACCACGATCTTCCCTTGACACACATGTTGGGCCAACATCTTGTCGATATTGGCTTTGATGCAGTACCAACCATCAGTTAGTAGTAGCTCCACGTTGTTTGATGTTGATGCACTAAAATTAATAGTTTGATTGCAAATAAATTTTGGTCAAACTCGAAGCGCATTTATTTATTTATTTACACTTTATTGTACACCATAAAAACATACATAGAAAATAAACATAAAAGAATGTGTACAATGGGCGGATGGAGCCAGTATTCATTTAAGTCATTTTTTTTTTTATCTTTGGCAACCGAGTCTCCAGTACTATGTTGTCGACTATACTGCCAGTGTCGATTGGTGATTTATGTCAATCATCCCTTAATAGAGAGTTTGAAACGTCAAAATTGAATTGTCCGTCCCGTCAGTCACTATGTCTGTGAAGCTAGTTGCTTATGTAACAATGGCATAGGCGCCAGGCGGGTATTCGCACGAAAGAAAAAGAAAATCTGTTTATTTATGGTATTAGGTATAGGAATCAATTACCATTATCCCCCCACCCCCCATCCCCAATCTCTCTAATCCATGAATCCCAAACAATCCTCAAACTCCTAATCCCCAAAAGGCCGGTAACGCACTTGTAACGCCTCTGGCATTCCAAGTATCCATGGGCGACGCGGATTGCTTATCATCAGGTGACCCGTCTGCTCGTTTACCGGCTTATCCCATAAAAAGACGTATATTCCACAAAATGTGGGTAAATAAACTCCTTACCTGACAACTCTGACACCATCTTCATATATCTCAGCGACGCACAATACAAGAGTCTTCGAAGCCACGTCGTCTTTCTCAAAGATCTTCCTCAAAGCTGGCCTTTTAGCATTAAACAATTCCACATCGTAACGAAACTTTAATTGATCTAACACATTTCTTGCAGTACAAAAAAGACTATTGAATTTAATTTCATAAGATATTAGCTTCCATAATATTAACTTCAAATGGTTATCTAACCAGCCTTTTGGTATAAGTTTACAGGTTACTGAATCACTAAAATATGTTTTAAGCGATTCGATTGTTAAATCGCCTTCAGTCAAGTCGTTTCTTTCATTTTTGAACACAAATTGTAACAGGCTATCGAATCGAAAAGTCGTCAAATATGCATCTGTTTTTGCGAAACTCCGCGTCATTTTCTCCAAATCTTTCAAAGTATATTCTTTCTTTCGCTTGTAATCTTCATTGAATTTTATTTTATTTCCTTCTTTTGGCTTGATTATTTCTCTTTTGGTAGCAACTGGTAGTTTTTGAGAGTATGGCGTTTCAAATTTTCGCCGTTTTTTCGCTTTAGGGCACGATAAGATTGGGCTTGATGGCCGTTTTGCTTTGACGGGGGTTTCGCGAAAATCTTCAGTATATAAGCTTTGATCGAAGTTATTTAAGACTTGTGTATTTATAATGTTTTCTAATCCCTCATCTAAATTGGTTATTTTGTCATTTGAAGTATCTACATCTGCAAATGGGCGTTTATTTCTTATACCATCGTTAGCTTTATTAATATCGCAATTTTTTATATCGGTTTTTATTTTAGCAATGTTTGTTGCATAATTTCGCACTCTATTTTTACTACCTTCAACTTCTTTAAGTAGTTTTCGACTTTCATCTTCCGTTTGGAATTGCAAACCACCTTTAAGTTCCTTTTCAAATATTTTCATAGCATCAATTAACGCTTTTTGTGATAATTCTAGTTCTTCATTGTTAATAGCTTTAAAGCCATGAAATTCAGGTTCAGGTTCGTCCTGAATAGTTTCTAAATCTTGAAATAGTTTTTTACTTTTAGCTAATGCTTCTTCAGATATGACTACGGGTCTTTTATTAGCTGTCTGAAACCCTTTAAAAATTGGACTTTTATTTAGATCTAGTGCTAAATTGAGGTCATGTTTGTGATCTTTATCATCGTTAGCGAGGTTTAAATTGTTTATATTGTCTGTTTTTGAGTTTTTATTATTTATGTCTTCATCGGCATCAATATTTTGGAATATTTTTCGTGTTTTTAGTAAAGCTTCTGCCGAAATTTCAACCTTTTTATTACTAGCAGTTTGGAAGCCTTGAAATTTTGGTATTTTATTTGCACTTATATGAAAATTATCATCATTAGTACTTATAGGACTTTCATCTTTACCAGTAACATCTTTTGTATCTATTTCAATGTCTGGATAGTCTTTTTTAGTTATTTTTGTAGTTTTAATTTCAGAGTCCTCTAAATCTTTAAAAATATTTTTAGTTTTGGCTATAGCCTTTTCGGAAACATTGATAACCTTATTATTTGCAGTTTTGAACTCAACAAAATCAGTCATACTTCTTATAGGAGGAAGATCTTCTTTGAAACTTGGATATGGAAGTTTTGGTTCACCTTTTTCTAGGTTTCTTGCATTTGGAAAGTCATTAGAATCTAAATCTTTGAAGATATTTTTAGTTTTAGCTAGAGATTCTTTAGAGATTTGTATTTGTTTGTTATTTGCTGTTTTGAAGCCCATAAAAGCTGTTTTGCTAGTTGACGGTGCACATAGATCTGTATCTGGTTCCACCATTTTAGGCACATTTCGTGTGTCCTTTGAATCGTTATTAGCTTTGCTTAAATTTCCAAAAGTAATTTTATCAATGTCTTTGAAAATATCTTTAGTTTTAGCTAAAGATTCCTTTGAAATAGTTATCCGTTTATTGTTTGCTGTTTGAAAACCAATAAAATTAGTTTTACTTGCCGGCTTATTAAATTTTTCATTGTCTTCTTCGACTTCTGTAATATGTTCTTCAGGATTTTTGTGAACTTTAGAATCTTTTTCGAAAATGTCTTTAAATATGTTCTTCGTTTTAACCAATGCTTCTTTAGAAATATTAACTTTCTTATTATTAGCGGTTTGGAAGCCAACAAAAGTAGCTTTGCTAGTAGAAGGCCCATAAAAATCTGTAGTTTTAGGTACAACGTCATCTTTCACAATATTTACAGTATTTTTAATGTGTTTTACTGGATATTTAAAGTTATCATCATCAATATCTTTAAATATATTCTTCGTTTCAACCAAAGCTTTATCGGATATTTTGATTTCTTTATTGTTTGCCGTTTTGAATCCTACAAAGGCATTTGTTTTACTAGTTTCAGTATTCAATTTAGTATTTTCTTCAGTTTTCGTTGATTTTTTTGGATAACTGAAGTTTTCTGAATCAATATCTTTGAAAATGTTTTCAGTTCTAGCCATTGCTTCATTAGATATTTTAATATTCTTATTGCTTGCCGTTTTAAAGCCAATACAACTAAATTCATTTGAAAAATCTTCAGTTTCTTTCGTGTTTTTGGATTTTTCTTCGTGTTTATTAGGCATTTTAAAATCTACTGGGTCAATACCGTCAAATATTTTTTTAGTTTTTGCTAAAGCTGATTTGGATATATTTATTTGTTTATTATTTGCAGTTTTGAAGCCAGTAAAGCCTTTACTAGTAGACGGTTTAACAAATATTTCATCTTTATCGATATTTTCTTCTGTATTTTTATTTGAAAGTTCTATATTATCAATATCTTGGAATAAATTCTTAGTTTTAGCTAAGGCCGCTTCTGAAACTTTAATATTTTTATTGCTAGCAGTTTTAAAACCAACAAAATCAGGTTCTGGAGTTGCTATAGCTGAAGTTATTTCAAACGAATTCTCTTCAGCTTTTTCGGGTTTTTTAGGAAATTCAATATTATCTAGATCCTGAAATATATTCTTTGTTTTATTCAACGCTTCTTTAGATATATTTATGTGTTTATTACTTGCAGTTTTAAATCCTACTTCAGTTGCAGCTTTTAGATCTCCATCGACTTGAGTTGAACTCTTCTCTCTAAAATTATCTTCGTTCAATTCTATCTCATTTAAATCTTCATCCAAATCAATATCTTTGAAGACATCTTTTATTTTAGCTAAAGCAGTATCTGTTATTTTTATTTCTTTATTGCTTGCAGTTTTAAAACCTATAGGAGCTACTCCATCTTCTTTCTTATCCTCATTTAAAGACATTTCAATGTTCTCAAACTCTTGTATTAAAGCATCATCAATGTTTTGTATTTCTTCTTCTATGTTCAAATTATCTCCTGTTTTTGGTTTATCTTCTTTAATCTTCTCAATTTCTTCTGCGTTATCATCGTCTTCTAAAGTTCTTTTATCAAAATCTTCATTTAAATCTATATCTTGGAATACTTTTTTACTTCTTACTAATGCCTTTTGAGATAATTTGATTTCTTTATTACTAGCTGTCATGAAACCTTTGAAATTACTAGAACTTTTTTGTCCTGTATCTACTACCTTCTCGTTTTCAATTCCACTGTTAAAGATGAACTCTATGTGCTTACCATCAACGTCAATTTCATTTTTAGTTGTATTTTTAACATTGCTTTCACAATTTTTAACCATATCAGTAACAGTTACTTCATTCTCAACATCATCTAGAATGCTTTTGGCTTGAGCAAATGAATCCGTGAAGATCTGAATAGATTTATTACTAGCTGTTTGAAAACCTACATACATAGTCTTATCGAGAACATCCGATTGATTGTAAAAAGAAGTTTCTAGCGCACAGGTAAAAGGGAGATCTAGCAAGCTCTGCTGAACAAAGTCTTCTTCATCGCTACTAAATAAGATCTCATCTTTTAAAACTTCTTTAACATCTTTCAATCTTTTATCTTCGTCTTTAATTACTTCTTTAATTAAATGTTCTGAAGTAGCTTTATCTAGATTTATAACTTCATTATCTGAATCAGAATTTGGTTCTATAAGTAGGTGTGTTTTAAATTCCTTGTTATTAATTTTCTTTTTAGCTTTATTTTTTAAAACTGGACTCATTGCATTCAATGCTATTTCTTCATCCATTTGTATATGTAGTTCTTTATCTAAAATCTGCGAATTGATGATTTTCTTTGATAGTTTGAAATCGTCGCCTATTAAAACAGGTTCAGATTGCTTTTCAAATTCTTCAAACTTTTCTAGACTAAAAACCATTGGGGATGGGGTTTTTGATTTTGATTTTGTTCCTTTTTGCACAAATATTGGACTTAAAGGCATTTCTATTGCTAAATCGTCATCATCGATTTCTATACATTCTACATTTTGTTTTTCAGCTTCAAAATTATTACTTTTTCCACTATTTGTGGTTGGTTCTTCATATTTAACTCTATTACTATTAATAATAGGAGAAATTAGACTCACAGATACATCCATATTAACATTATTATCATCATTGACATCTTCTTTATCTCTTTCTACTCTATCATCGGCTATATTAACATCCAAACATCCGTTTTCATCTCCTTCTTTCTCATCATCCTCTTCATCCGGAACCTTCTCGGTATGATGACAGAAGGTAGTTTCAAACTCTTGAGTCATTCCTTGATGGATGTCGATGATTTCAGCATCTTCTATTATGTTTATTAGTTGTGTATCTGTTGCATATTGGGTGTCGAATTTTGTTTTTGGTGGCTGAAAGATGGAGAATTTTGAATTAGAATATTGGAGTCCTTTCAGTCATGTTCATCTTATTCTTTTGATTGATGGGGCGGTAAACTACGGCACGAATGGGCTGGCTCGACCAGAGTGATACCACAGCCTCACGGAAAACAGACGTGAAGCAACGCTTGCGTTGTATTTCGTCGTGTGATTGAGGTTACCGGAGGCCCAATTACCCTCCCCTTCCCCAATCCCCCCAATCCCTGAATCCCCAACGATCCTCAAACTCCTAATCCCCAAAAGGCCGGTAACGCACTTGTAATGCCTCTGGTGCTCCAGGTGTCCATGGGCGATTGCGATTGCTTACCATCAGGTGATCAGTCTGCTCGGTTACCGGCTTATCCCACAACAATAAAGTTATACTATGAAAATAGATAAGTTAATAGCACAGTAGTAATAAAATAGAGGTATATTAATATCTTCTTAACTACTTTAACCTAATTAACAAAGCCTTTTTAAATTATGCAACCATTCAAATAATTTTTGCAGTACCTACGAGATATCTATGTGTTAAATGTTTTTTTTAATTTATTATTTATTTGTTAATCTGTCAAACACCAAGCGGTCACCGGTGACCGCGACCTATTGTTCTTTAATTGTGTCTATAAAACCGGTACTCGACGAGTTAATGCTTCATGCACAAAGTGTACACAAGGTGGACTTAATGCCGCGGGCATTTTCTCCCATACTGTCCTTTGGGTGATGCAGAGAAGAGTGAATGGTAGGAGCAAGAAGCAAGCAATGAGATAACCTCAATCACACGACGAAATACAACGCAAGCGTTGTATTTCGTCGTGTGATTGAGGTTACCGGAGGCCCAATTACCCTCCCCTTCCCCAATCCCCCCAATCCCCGAATCCCCAACGATCCTCAAACTCCTAATCCCCAAAAGGCCGGTAACGCACTTGTAATGCCTCTGGTGCTCCAGGTGTCCATGGGCGATTGCGATTGCTTACCATCAGGTGATCAGTCTGCTCGGTTACCGGCTTATCCCACAACAATAAAGTTATACTATGAAATTATCCGCTAGATGGCGCTGTTTAGAAAAGACGTGATTAAAGATGCTCCTTGTTAGTTATATTTTTAAAATTATACAAAGTTAAAAGTTTAAGCTAATTCTTATACCTAAGTGACTGTAACGGACTAATTCATGACCTACAGTGTTATTCACGTGTTAAACTCAATGGATCTGATAATATAAACAATGAAGTGATCTTCAAAGTGCATTCGTGACGTTAGAAGTACTTAATAATACGACAGTGTTGTGAAAAACTTACAAAACAAATAGGTAAATATACAGTGCCACAGATATAAAGCTAGTAAACTTATTAAAATAGCAAACTAAAAAGTGATTGAAAAATGTACTGAAATATTTGCATAATGACTCATAATTAACCGCCAACTATTTCAAATAATACGTCCAATAAATACCAAAGCAAAATTTCATCAACATAAGTAGTGACTGTTTGGTCTAGTGGTAAATGCGCTGGGCTGTTAAGTTACGTCAAGCGACCTGAGTTCGAAACCGACACTCTGTGAAACTTTTTGTAGGTTTTTTTATAAAATGTGATGTTGTCTCAAACCATTACTCAATAATAAAAAATAAAAAAAAAAACTACATAGACGGTGAGCCAAAAATTATCAACCAACCTACATTAAAAATATCAAAATGGATAAATCGAATGATAATATAACCCACAGACGATGTCGCATTACAAGAGCAGTTTCTGATGATAATTTAAGCCAAAACATCTCAATTGATACCACAAGCTCGGAAGAAATATTCGGCAGAAGCTTAAACCTATCACCACCAAGAAAAAATGAAATTGTAGATCATTTAAACATAGAAATTGAAGGTTTGAAATTAAATTTAGAATCCACACAGAATGAACTGGAAAATATTCTGTTAGAAAATAGCGATTTAAAAAAACAAATTAGTAAACTAGCCCAAGAAATAGAAATGTTAAAGCAAATATGTAACAGTCCCTTAACATCAATAAGAAAAAGCACGTGCAAAAGCAAGCAAAATAGACGGCGACTGACTGATAGTTTTGAGAACAATAGCCCACTTGCAGTTTCAGACAATACAATACTAATAACCAAAAAGGGTTCTTCAAAACGAAAGCCACAGTTATTGGAGTTGCAAAATACTACCAACACTGGATACCGATGCTTTAAAGAACTACCCACGACGGATAATAAGACTGGTATTTCGACGACACATAGACCGAAATCACTTGGTGATTGTGATAATAATGAAATAATGTTCAACAACATTTCTGAGGTTCCTGTAGCTCGAAATAAAAATGACAAGGATTACGACACACAAAAATCACTTAGCGCCTGCAGTAATACGCAGAGCAAAAATACTCTTATTGAAGATTTTTGTGTATCCATTACGAACCCTGGAAGGAGGGATAAGGTGGGGAATCGTACTGAGACTGCTAATGATAATTACGGGAAGAAGCATAGAGTCACAATTTTTGCAGACCAAACCGGATATGGGATTAGACAAATACTGCAGGTTTACTTGGGCGACTCCTTTCTGGTCACGTCATATATAAAACCATTTGCAACATTAGATGAAGTTCTGAAATCGTGTATATCTACGTGCCGGGACTATACAAAGTCCGACTATGTACTTATACTTGCAGGTTCCAATGATAAAAATCCCTTAATAATTCAAACGTACTTGCACTACACCGTGTGTCAATTGCAAAGAACAAACGTTCTAGTAGGAGAAACTTTCAACAATGATTATGTAAATGTGAACGTCTTAAACAACACACTTAAACTTATATGTAATAATTGTAAAAATTCAACCTTTGTTTCTCTAGACTCAAATAATTATAAGAGGTGGAATAAATTGCATGCATGTAGACTAATTCACCGACAAATTCTACAGACAAACTACCTAGTTAATTACAAGAAACACGTAAACAACTTATTACATTGTAGCAAATCGAGCAGTATTGGGTATTATAAACAACATTCAGTTACAACTCAGGCGAATGAAACTGTTAGGAACACTGAAAATTTTGATTCTTCTCTAATTAAATTTGTAAGTATCGAGACACAGACTGAAGAGTCAGAGTTTTTTCGTCAATAGTTTAGATGCAACGATCCAATTATGTAATAATGTTAACTCAAGCGTTCAGTGTATATGTGTTTGCCATCAAAATGTATGTGGAATCACTAATAAAAGGAATGATTTCGAAGTTTATTTACAAACACTTAAAAAGAAAGTAGATTACATATGTTTAAGTGAGCATTTTTTGAGCGAGTTAAGTGCACCTTTATTTAAGCTAGAAAATTATAACTTGGTGTCCTATAATACTAGGAAACAAAAACGAAGAGGCGGTACTCTAATTTTAGCACACACAGAGAGAAAAGTTGAAAATGTAGATGTAATAAATAATCTGTATATGGTGGATATCTTTGAAGTTTGTTGTATAAAAGATCTCAGTACTGACCTCTATTTGTGTTGTTGCTACCGAGTGCCTAATGATAAGAATTTT